CTTTTTAAACTATCACTTATTAAAAGCCTGATTTTTGATAAATGCTTTCATTATTTCATCTAATCTTCATAACGATCCTCCAAGTGAAGTGTTATTCTCTCCATTTTACAGATGAATCAACTGTAATTCAGAGAGAATAAAACTAATCCCTGGTTTGTTTCCAAAGTCCGTTTTCTTTATATTGTACGACCCCTTTTCAAAAAATCTCTCTCTGGTTTCCATATCTCTGTCATTATATTAGGTCCTTCTACTTGTCTGACGTCAACTCTATTTCCTTTCCTATCTCCCCTTCTCTTCACTGGCTAAATCTGGATATTTCAAAAAAGTGCAGAATAAATTGTTCAATTTAGAAGAGGTTTTAGAAACACAATTCCAAATTTTACAAAATAATATTATTAACAATATCAGTATATTATTGCTACAAAATAAAATACACAAAAAATGCTGATGGATATAAAAACTAAATGAGGCAGACTTGTCCACTTCAGACCCAAATTATCACAGGATTGGGACTATGAACTATACATAATACCCCAAAAAACTCCTTTCCTTTCCAAAAACAGACACACACATACACAGACCTTAAGAAACACTGTAGTGTTTTCTGACCCTTCTGACTATAGCCCTTCTCCCACTCCCCAAATACATTAATATCAATGTTTTAGAAAACCCTAGAGTCACTGCCAAATAGCTGAGATTATCCATCAGATGTTCCTCAAGGAGATTCTTCTCCTGACAACTCCAGCATGAGATTATTGTGTATATATAGATCACTGTTATGCACAGGACAGGCTCATGACAAATGTTTGCCAAAATGAAGACAGCACATGGCACCACTGTAGCCCTAGACAGCAAATTCACTGGCATTCCAAGAACGTCACAAATAGCACACTAGTGTGACTTTTCTTTTTTAAAAAGGGCACTATGTGGCTTGTAAATGTCATCTTGGAGACACGTCACATTGAATCATGGTGTTTTCATTACTTAACATTCCTCACTTTCTTTCACAATATGAAATTTCCAAAATTAAGATCATTTGGATTGACAGATCTTTTAAAATTCAAGCATTTGTATAAGAATAATTCCCCTCTAAAGGAATGCATTTCGTCAGTCTGTTTTACTCCTTATTTCTAGCTAAAATACTGGGCACTAATGTGACAGTTTTGCTGGCAGAGGGACAGCAAGAAAGGCTAATTTTGGAGCCCTGGAGAAGAGTGATGAACAGGAGGGCAGTGCAATGAGAGGGTCATAGGATAGACTGAAAGTGGAAGGGGGTATGGGTAGGAGAGCCTGAAGACAAACATGAACATGAACTGTGTTTCACATCAGTTAGGGTCCCACTCTAATATTTGTACTTCCACAGTACTTAGTACGTCTCAGGCACAGTTCTAAGACCCCATTCAATTAATAGTAGCTTCTAGGGGCACCTGGGTGGCTCAGTTGTTAAGAGTCGGCCTTCGGCTCAGGTCATGATCCCAGGAGCCTGGGATCAAGCCCCACATCGGGCTCTCTGCTCTGCAGGAGGCCTGCTTCTCCCTCTCCCTCTCCCACTCCCCCTGCTTGTGTTCCCTCTCTCTCTCTCTGTCAAATGAATAAATAAAATCTCAAAAAAAGAATAAAAGAAATTAATAGTAGCTTCTATGTTTATCCCTATTTGGTAAAAACCAAAGCACAAAAGGGTTGAGTATTTTCCAAAGCTTCACAGCGAGTTAGGGGCAGAGCTGGGTTGAAAACCAGGCACATTTCATAATCATGAATTATTATGCTTTTCTACAGCATACACCCTAGAGCAGTGGCTCTCAAACATGTTTGACCATGACCCCTTGGAGGATTACATGACCCAGTACAACAAAAAATAATAGAAACAGAAGTTTTTAGAAATAATAGTCTTACCAGGTACAGTGCATTCAGCTCTTTCCTATTTTATTTTAAAAATCGTTGGTTGCAGAGACGCCTGGGTAGCTCAGTCGGTTAAGTGTCTGCCTTTGGCTGGAGTGCCTGGGTGGATCAGTCGGTTAAGCGTCTGCCTTTGGCTCAGGTTGTGATCCCAGGGTTCTGGGATCGAGTCCCGTCATCGGGCTCCTTGCTCAGCAGGGAGCCTGCTTCTCCCTCTGCCCGCCGCTCCCCCTGCTTGGGCTTGCGTTGCCACGCACTCTCTCTCTCTGACAAATAATAAATAAAAATCTTAAAAATAAAATAAAAATCATTGGTTGCAACTAACAAATTACTTTTACAACCCTCAATGGGTTATGACTTACAATTTGAAAAACACTACTGTAGAGACCAGGGCTACGAGTGATCATTCAGTATCTCCACTTGGATATTTGACAGTCATGTCAAACAAATGAATAGTTATCTTCACTTGGTTACGGATAGTCTACAACCAAACTCCTGAATTTCATCCTCCAATTCTGTTCCTTCCCTTTTCTTCCTCTCTCATTAAATGGTAGCTTCTTCTGCACTGTCCAAATGGTAGCCACTAGCCACTAGCCACAAAGCTATGGAGTGCTTGAAATGTATCTATCGTAATTGAGACATGCTGAAGTGTAAAATACACACCAAATTTTGAAGACTTAGCAGGAAAAAAGAACCTAAAATATCTCAATAACATTTTATATTGATTGCATCTTTAAATAATGTTTAAGATATACTGAGTTAAATCAAATATATTATTAAAATTAATTTCACCTGGGGTGCCTTCGGCTCAGGTCATGATCCCAGGGGCCTGGGATCAAGCTGCGCATGGGGCGCCCTGCTCAGCAGGAAGCCTGCTTCTCCCTCTCTCATTCCCCTTGCTTGTGTTTCTTCTCTTGCTATGTCTCTTTCTGTCAAATAAATAAATAAAATCTTTAAAATTAATTTCACCTGTTTCTTTTTACTTTTTTAATCTACTTGAAAGATTTTTTTACCTATGTAGCATATATTTCTTTTCTTTTTTTTTCATGTATTTCTATTGGACAGTAATCTTCTGATTGCTCAAGCTAAAAATCTTAGAATCATCCATGACTCCTTTCTATCCATCAGTATAAGCTCTACTTTCAAAATAGATCCATAATTCAAAACTTCTTACCACCTTTACTACTATACCTTCTTTTCTCTCTTTCTCTCTCTCTCTCTCTCTCTCTCACACACACACACACACCAGTATCTCTTGGTTAACTGAAATAACTGATCTTGCTTCCTTCGTCACCACACCCTCCAGCTTATTTAGCTATTTTACACTTCTAGCATGTCTCAACTATAAAGTTGCAGAGTAATCCTTTTAGAAGGTCTACCAGATTATGTCACTCCTCTGTTCAAAATCCTCCAATGTTTCTTTTGCCCTGATTAAAAGCCCAAATCCTTGCCATAGCCTACAAAGCCTTATAAGATCTGGCTGCCAAGCCCACTCCATTATCTGTCCTAATTTCTTACCACTCTCTTCTCAGCTTTGGTGGCCTCCTTGAATCCACCAAATATGCTCCTACCTCATGGCCTTTCCACTTCTGTACCTCTGTGTGTAACCCTCTACCCTGGATATCCTCCTTCCTCTTACTCTGATTGGGATCAAATGTCAATTTACCACCAAGTCCTTTACTGACTATTGTATTTACAATTGCAAACATCCCTCTCCTGACTCTTGCACACTTCCACTTCCCACTTCTTTTTATTCTTACAACCTTTCATTATCTTATATAATTTACTTACTTAATTTGTTTATCTGTCTCCCACAAATAAAATGTAGGAGTTCCATGAGGGCAGTGAATTTGTTTCACTTCCATGCCTGGCAAATCCTAGGTGCTCAATAAATACTAGTTGAATGAATAAGTGAACTACATATTCCCAAACTCAGTTTTGGACCACTTGCAACTAGCCATTCTCAGAAATCTGAAACAAACATTTCAGGATCTTCAGTTTTTAAACCATTATTGTTTTTGGACCTACAGTATTTCCACAATAAGGGAAGCAAGATTTTTTTCCACACTCCAAATCTTTTGTCCGTTTTCTCATGATCCTTAGGTGCCCTCAAAGTGCTCTACAAGAGGGGTTTTCTTTTCCCCAGGCATTAAATCTCCATAGGCATCTGTACCACATCCTAAATTTCTGGCCTAAAATATGTACAGCGATAGCCAGTATAAATCCTTTTTTTAAAAAACATATAATATATTATTTGTTTCAGGGGTACAGGTCTGTAGATCCTTTTTTTTTTTTTTAAGGGGTTGTAGTTATATTTATTGAGCCCATATTGTATAACAAGTGCTCTTCTTATTTTTTTAATTATGTTCAATTAGCCAGCATATAGTACATCATTAGTTTTTGATGTAGTGTTCAACGATTCATTAGTTGAGTATAACACCCAGTGCTCATCTCCACAGGTGCCCTCCTTATCCTTAACCCCATACAACCTTCAGGTCTATGCAGTGTACATGAGATACAACCACGTTGTACAAGTGGTATTTGCACCCTCAATTGTTTGTAAACTAGCCACACTTCACCTACCTAGTAGTTCCATCTCTGCATTCAAGATGTGCCCTGTGTTAGGACTAGAGTTGGTAGACACATGGATGGAATGTCAGAGATTGTACACAGGCCCCTTATTTTAGACATGGGGAAATCAAGATTCAGAGAACTGGGGCCAAGCAAACTTAGGTCACATAAAAAAATATAACAATAAATAGATATTTTAAATTTTTAAAAAATCAAAACAAAGACACAAAACACTTCGTGGTAGAAGAAACACTAGAAGCCAAGTCGCTTGCCTCCCACCATTCAGCTGTTCCGCAAAACGACCCTGTTGTGCAGCTCAACTTAGTGGCAGCCTTCTACCGCAACATTTTAATGTGCAAACATGAGCTCACGGGCTGATAAAGCAGGTGCACAACCCGGACCTCGCACCTCCATAGCGGCGAGAAAAAAAAGCAGCTCGCAGCTTCGGCCTCTACCGCCTCCCGACCCCGGCCCCGCTGACCACAGTCTCGCGAGACTAGCGGTCGCGGCGAGCCGGCGCAGAGCCGCCCGGAAGTGGGCGAGGGGACCTGACAGCTCCACCCTGGCGTGTGCACTTGAGGCCAGGTGGGGGTCGAGGGTCTCCTCGGGGACCAGCGCGAGGCGGAGTCACGGAGAAGCTTTCTGCCATTCACACGGCGGCCTCGGCCCTGGCCCCGCTGCGGCCGCCCCGCCCTTTGCCCTTCACGGCGCCCGGCCCTCCTTGTCTGGGGCTGCTTTTTGCGCCTGGGCAGCCTGCTTTTCCCCTTTTGCTTTCCTTCACGTCTCCTTCCCCGACTCCAACCCCGGAGTCGCGGGTCCTGCAGTGTCCCAGAAGCCGCACGTATAACTTGCTCAGTGTAAGTGCTAGGAATGCCGCTGGCCTCTCTGGGAAATGTGTTCTATCTATAGCTCTGTCTGTCCATCCTATGTCTGCAGCAGCTATTCCAGGGGCGACATCTGCTTCCCTCTGTTCTCATCTCCCCATTGGTGGCTTCCAACCCGAATTTGGGAAGGGGGAGCTCTCCCACCTGTTATCTTTGAGCAGACTAATCTCTTGTAAGCAGAAGTGCCGTTTGTAGTCTTCAAAGCCTTTAGGCTTGGGACCGGGAATTTTCCCCCCAGCCCAAATCCAGGCTTTCCAAAACGTATTGCTTTTCTCTGAGAATAATTTAGTTTTGTTTTTTGTTTTAATTTTATGAATCTATAACACAATAGTTTTTGCTTTGGTCCTATTGTGCTCGAAGGGTGGAAACTATTAATTTGCCTTCTCAGGTCTTACTTATAAAATTAATTCTCTTTGCTCTGCTAGGGTTAAAACACATTTAGAACATGTAAGTGCGGCTGTCAGCCTTAAAGAATTTAAGATAATAGTTATTTTCTTTATCTTAATTCCTTTTTGTTTCATAGGGGTAACTCATTCGATTTCGGAGTTCTTTTAATTCTTCTGAAAGATTTCAAGTCTTCTAGAAGCCAAAATGGGACACAGTAAACAGATTAGAATTTTACTTCTGAACGAAATGGAAAAGCTGGAAAAGACCCTCTTCAGACTTGAACAAGGTCAGTAGCAAGTTGTTTAGTTGGCTCTGTGTCTTTTAAATTTTTAATTAAATGTCATATTAATTTTTTTTAAACTTTAAGATAAATATAATTTCCAAGGACCTTTCTAAACTTGATCAGTGCAAAGATGGTGCTGCATTCTAAAAATACCACTAATGAAAGTTAATTTTAGTTATAAAGTTGAAAATATGTTTGTCATGTTAAAACAAGGATAAAGTAGCTCACTCTTCTTTCCATGGTAACTTCCACTTAAGACAGAGGTGTGTATAGGATCCAGACATTGACCATATTATTTCTATTAGCAATTATTATAAAAACTTAATAAGTTACTTCATCTGTAATTTTACTTGGAGTGTATGTATAGTTTTCCTTTTTTTTTTTTTTTAGTTTTTCGTTTTTATAGCCCTCATTCTTTTCCTTTACTGGGACTTTGATTTAGTAAAATAGATCACAGCAAAAAGCAAACTATTATTTATGTTTTTCAAAAGCCCCTCAAATATGGAGAAGATAAAGCTGAAAATATTTTTTGCCAAATATAAAGTGAAAAAACTGATCAGGTTATGTTGAAATATATTTGAGCTTTTTTTTTTAGACTTTATAATTTTTCAAGATTGAAAAACATTCCAGGGCGCCTGGGTGGCTCAGATGGTTAAGCGTCTGCCTTCGGCTCAGGTCATGATCTCAGGGTCCTGGGATCGAGTCCCGCATCGGGCTCCCTGCTCCTTGGGAGCCTGCTTCTCCCTCTGCCTCTCTCTCTCTGTCTCTAATGAATAAATAAATAAAATCTTAAAAAAAAAAAGAAAAGAAAAACATTCCACTCTCATTTATGTTAATATAACTTGTGAAGTAGAAGTTTAATGTATGAAATATAAAGTGCATAGTATAACAGATAGATGTTGATAGTAAACATTGAAGGATTTTTTCCCCCAATATCTCGAGTTAAATTTTTGAAAGAAAAAAAAAATTCAACCATCACATGTGTTACCTCCATGCCAAATCACCTTCTTCCAACTTTGGCATTTAAGATCACTGAGTACTTACTCCATTTTTGGCTTTCCTGACTCTGCACTTTCCTGGTTTTGATTTTTTCCCTACTCTCTTGAGTACTCTTGTCAACTTGGTGGTGTCTCTTGCTGAGTTCTCTTCCTTCCACATTTTAATTAATTCTATCTATCTGCAAGAAATCCTTTCTTTTTCTCTTCCTCTGCCCTCAAAGAATTATACATTCTCATAGCCTCATTTGTTGCTTCTATGCTGACGGCTCTTTTTGGAAGAAGAGCCTTGAATTTTGCTTGCTTCTTGAAAGCCAGGAGTATAATGGCAAGAGTAAGAAACTAGAATTTTCTTGGCTCTGCTGCTAACAACTTTTTTTGACTTTGGGAAAGTCACATGAATTATTAACATTAATTTGTGAAGTGAAGATGTTAATTTCTGCTCTTCTACCTTCCTGGATTTTGAAGCTCAAAATTAATAATACATGGTTTTAAAGACTAAATGGGTATAAGGCATTGATAGATCACTGTACCTATTTATTTCACCCTGGTTTCTTGGCTTCATCCAGGTATTACACTATAGAATAGACTCAGGATAGCTCCACTTGGAGATGCTTAAGTCTAACATATCCAAAACCATCTCCTCCCCATTCTCAAACCTTCTTCATTTCACATCCTGTTTATTCTAGTGATATCTCCATTTTCATAGTTTCAAGGCCTTTGAAACTATGTACTCTTCTTTGACAATTTCTTCTCTTTAACTGTAGTCTCTTTAAGCCCTATAATTTCTTTCCAAATGTCTCTGGTTGCCTGTCTCTCTCTTTCATATGCCTGAATATGTATACTAGGATAATCTTGGGACGCCTGGGTGGCTCAGTCGGTTAAGCGGCTGCTTTCTGCTCAGGTCATGATCCCAGGGTCCAGGAATCGAGCCCCACATCGGGCTCCTTGCTCAGCGGGGAGCCTGCTTCTCTTTCTGCCTGCCTCTCCCGCTGCTTGTGCATGTGCTCTCTCTCTCTGACCAATAAATAAATAAAATCTCAAAAAAAAAGATAATCTTCTTATGCCATCTCTTCCCTTTTCATTAATTGGTGTTTATATAGTCAAATTTAAATGCTTCTGGCTGGCTTCCAAGACATTCTATAATGAAATCCACCTTCCTTAGCCAAGGTTGTTATCTCATTGTTCCCCATTACTAGTGTCCTGCATCTTTACAGTTCCCCTGTTAATTCCCTCCCCACTGGCTTTTCCTTTTTTTAAAAAAGATTTTATTTATTTATTTGACAGAGAGAGAGACTTCGAGAGAGGGAACACAAGCGGGAGAGTGGGAGAGGGAGAAGCAGGCTTCCCGCTGAGCAGAGAGCCCGATGTAGGGCTCCATTCCAGGACCCTGGGATCATGACCTGAGCCGAAGGCAGACGCTTAACGACTGAGCCACCCAGGCGCCCCCCACTGGCTTTTCTCATAGCTCTCCTGACACTTTCATTTTTGTCAGATTCCTCTATATTTATTAAATCCCTTTCCTATCATTCTGTGTGTTGCCTACCTCTCAACTTTAAGCTAAAATTCCACCTCCTCCTTGAGGTCTTTCCTTAATTTTTTGTTATCTCCTTTCTTTGATTTCCAATCACACAATAGTCACAGAACAATTAAGTCCTCAACAATGTAGCAGTTTCTAAAAGCTTATTGGTCTTACAGTGTCCAACTAGAGTTTAAGATCTGTGAGGATAGGGCAAGTATTATAAACCTAGTACAATGTACAACAGTCAATAAATCCCTGCTGATTGATTACTAAAACATGAGTTAAAGCTAGCAAAAAGTGTAAAATCAGCCAAGCTAGTTGAAGAGGGAACTGTGAAGGGTTTATAAAATAAGAGTGATGTGGTTGAGTCTGTAACTCTAGTTAAAATCAGTAAATTCAACCAAATGATATAAATGGGAACATGTCAGTTTTTTGTGTGCAGTAATGAGGTGATCATATTGTTATAGAAGATAATTATAATGTGAAAGATGAAGAGACGTTGGAGACAAGAAATCCTCAAGAAGGCTATTTTGAAAATATGTCTGTTTAAAGATAAGGGTTTAACTACATCAGAGTCAGAAAAAAGGGAATAGAGTATGAGACATTTTAAAATTCACAGGACTTGGCGACCAATTAGGTGTGAAGAAAAACTCTGGCAGTTTTTGGTTCTTTCATATTTAATTGGTCACCATGTCCTTCTTCGTTTTTCTTTTCTTTTCACTTTTCCCTAAGAAAGGATTCCTCCTCATTTTCTTTTTTTTTTTTAAAGATTTTATTTATTTATTTGAGAGCGAGAATGAGAGAGAGAGAGAGCATGAGAGGGGGGAGGGTCAGAGGGAGAAGCAGACTCCCTGCCGAGCAGGGAGCCCGAT